TTTGGAGCTTTTCATTTAAATATAGAATTTAAATTTTCAAAATGTTAACATCCGCATTTTGCGATTATTTTTAGTTTATCATGTTTAATTTTCAGTATTAATAATTCATAAAATTTCTTTGGTATTAACTCCGACAAATATATGAAAGCTAAAAAATTTCGATCTTCTTTTAGACAAGAAAAAAAGTTACAGAAAAATAGTGCCTTGCTTTTATTTGTTCACAATGAGTATACATATTCAAACTTTTCAAAATTTAACGTGTTTTTTTACTGCAATTTTTGTTTGTATCCCTTCATTATATTTATTGTTTACAGGATTTTTTCGTTATAAGGGAACGTTATTTTTTATTATAAGATGTGTATGTATGTGCATAAATATATAATTTTAATTTCAAAATTATTTGGTGGTCAACATCAAAAATATTTTAGCGGTAATAAAAATAATTAACAGAAAATATCAATAGTATTATAATACGACAAACTGTTTAATGTTGAATATTAGTTATTAAATAAAAAAATATATTATATTTATATAATGTATGTATGTTATATACATACATATCATACTCGTATGTAATATATGTACTTACATTTCATAATACCTAAATATGTATATGTACATATGTATATTAGGTATATTCATTCTTTAATTTTAAGTTATGTAAAATGTTTGAGCTAAACATAAATAAATAAATAATAAATAAATTACATTAAATATTAGCTATAGGACTCGATACATTATATAAAATCCATATTTATATTTTATATCAGTGTAAATTTAGAACCCGTTTACATACATATCCATACATATATAAATTTACACATACATTTACATATATTATGTCAATGCAATGCCGAATTATACAAAACAGGTCATCTACACAGAAAAGTGCTAATAATGTTTTATATTTCGAGGTAATGCCGAAGTCTATCAACTCAAAGAGGTTTTTTTGAATTTTTAAAAAACTAATAGAGATATTAATTTCAAATTTTGTAAAAATGTGTCAAATTAGTTCTATATACATATATTCTGAAAATTTTAATGGAATGGCTGCATTGGTTAGGGTAGCTACCATACAACTCCGAAAGTTAATTTTAAATATTTGAAAAAATATTAAAGCTAGATTCATGAAACTCGGCAGTCGTGTTTCCAATTTCAGGTCAGACATATTTCTGAAGTTTTGGTGGAATGACTTAACAGATTGGGGTAGCTGCCATACAACTTCAAAAGTTAATTTTCAATATTTGGAAAAGTATTAAAGCTAGATTAATAAAACTTGGTAGTTGTGTGTTCAATTTCAGGTCAGATATATTTCTGAAGTTTTGGTGGAAGCCATGAAACTCGGCGGTCGTGTGTCCACTATACGTCAACAATAATATCCGTGAAGTTTCTATTGAGTGGTTTGACAGGTTCCAGTAATTGCCATTTAGCAATCAGAGTTAATTCTAAATATTTCAAAAACAAATTTTTAAACACAGATTGTCAAAGTGTAGGGTATTATTCAGTCGGTTTATTCCAACTGAAACGTTTTTACTAGTTTCAATTGCATTTTCTACAAAATAATTGTTTTGTTAAAAGCATTAAAAGTGCTGCCCCAAAGATTGACGGTCACTTCCCATACTTCCCATTTGAGTGTTTGAGTTTTAACCGATTTTTAAACTATTTGTGTAAGTCCGATTAATCTCAAATTTTGAATTACCTAAGCCCGATGACAAGCCGATATCTTTGAATATATTCAAATTACATTTCTCAGAAGTTAGAAAAAGTTTTCGAGTCTTGTGCCTGCAAATATGCTACGATGTGGAGTTTGAGGAGGGCTCAGTTCGATCGGCCGAACAACTCCTTTTCTGCCCTCGCTAACTTAACAAAGTTACGTACTTGAAATGTACCGTACATTGTTGTGTCTAGGAATATATTACAATATGAAGGTTGAGGGATGAAACTTAGTTCGAAGAGTCGCCAAATAACCCTTTTCTGCGCAGCTCTATTACAGTTACATTCCGACGATTAAAAATTCTTCGATTAAAAATTAAAAAAACTCGGTTCGTTGAACTCCCGAATAACTCCAATTACGCCAGCGATTAAATGATATAATTATGACATTATCAAATGTTGTGCCTGAAAAATTTATCTATATACATTTGCTTTTACGTAAATAAATTGGTTAAGGTCGATAGTGAGTGAGAAAGCTATAAATGGCCAAATGCTGGGAATGAAGCTATACGGTAATTGATTTTGGGTCTTCGTTGTTTCAAAAAGGACAAGTATATACCTATCTTAACCGACTTCAATCTCTAAACGGCCTCTATATTAAGTAAGTATTAAGTAAACTAAATTATTAAAAAATTAAATTATTATAATGTAAATATTTTGTATTAATAAAAAATTAATTACTTAATTTCTTATTATTCAATTTCTGAAATTTGTTGTAAAATGAAACATTCAAGCTTAATTAGTTTTGCCTGAGGTAGCTGAGTTATAGCAATACAAATTGTATTGAAATAACTTTTTTTTCTAAAATGATATAATATATTATAGTGTACTTACATCTTTCGCAATCATAATTTCTACAATGTACTCTCCGAATTTTTTAATTCTTGTAGTTTTCTCGCTTTTACTTCTTTTTGGTGAGCTTGGTGGTATTTCTGGCACTATTGTTTATATTGATGAGTAGGTTTGTCTTGTTTTTGATAGTCGTGACACTTTTGGTGGTGTTTGTGCCACAGGGGTAATTTGTGCCACTTTTGGTGATGGAGTCAGTAGAGGAGTTATATGTGGCACTTCCGGTGAATTTGAGCAGCTCATGGGTCTTAGCGGTCTACAAATTTATAAAATTATTTAATTCACTTTTCAAATATTCAAAAAATTAAGAACTTACGAAACACTTGCAGAATTTAAAATTACTTTCGCAAATTCGCCCAACTCTTCTTGAATTGCGTCTTTAATTTTGCCGGCATCAAATGTAATATCAATTTGATGCTTTTTAAACAAATGCTGTTTAAGGCAATAGATCCTGCCACCATTTTTTTCCACGTTTTCTTTTTATTATCTCTTACACACGTCAAGCAAAAGTATATAATCATCTTTACGTTCCTCTTTCTTATACCCCACATACTTCCATAACAACGATCTTTTATTTTTTTCGATACATAAATCACGAAACTGAAAGTAAATGTTAAATAAATTAAAATTTATAATTTAACATAAATAATTTAAGAAATAGATACATCACTTTCCTCGAGTTTACTCATTCTGAAAGAAATAAATCTACATAATTAGATTAGATAATTACATTTAAAAAAAATTTTATATGTTAATATAAAAATTGGTGAAATGTGCTTTTTTGGAAACCTTTAATATTATGCTAACTAATTTTTGAATAATTTGTTGAATGCTTATGAAAATATTTCTTTTTTGCTTATGAAAATTTTTGTTTCTTTTTTGTGTAAAGTTGAAAACAAAAACAAAAATATTGCACATTGCGAAAAATAACGGCACAACTAAAAATATGAACAAATTTTCTGAATTATTTTAGGTAATTTAGGATAGGTAAAAATTATGTTCTACGAAAATTAGTTTCTAGTAAAGATCTATGTAGATATAAAATTTCAGGTTTCTATCTGAAAGGGTGTAGAAGTTTTGTAAACAGACACACGGACTGACGAACGGACGGACAGGAACTAATAAGCATTTTCTTTCAAAATTTTTTTGGAAAAGTGCTAAAAATCAATTTGGAATATACATATGTACATACGGACAGAGTGAAATTAATAAGCACTTTGTTTCAAAATTTTTTTGGAAAAGTGCTAAAAATAAATTTGGAATATACGGACAGAGTGAAACTAATAAGCACTTTTTTCTAAATTTTTTTGGGAAAGTGCTAAAAATAAATTTGAAATTTGCATATGTACATACAGGGTGATTCAGAAAGTTATACAATAACATATACAATTCGGTAGAAGATCGAAAATAAGTAAAACTTTTGTTCCAGACGTAAAATCTTATTTTTGGTATATTATTAGAGCAGAAAAAGTATATACTTATTTGAATAAGATGAGGTAAGGTATTAATTATGCACATTAGAATGTTAAGTAAACACCAGATAGATAGATAGGTAGTTTGGATCGCTATCTTCGAAACCTTTTTAAAATACCTGCTACATCTAAAAAAAAAAGTAAAAAAATGTTACATTATGATAAACTGGAATCAAAGATGTTCTAAAATAAATATTAATAATTTGTTCACTCACTTTTATATACTTGCAATTTTAGTTTCTTTAGCTCTTCCTTACATGAATTAAAATATTTCCAACTCACACATAAAAGGAAAATAAGATAATATTAATGTTTGTTTGTTTATGTAATTAATTTTGTGTAATTAAATATGAAATGTCCAATTATATTAATATTAATATGTACATACAATTATATAAAATATGAAATATATTATTATCACTCATTTCATTATGAAAGAAAAAGAAATGTATACATATCTCTATGAATTATGATCTCACGAATCACGATATCACATTTTTGAGTTTTTTATTTGCAATTTTTTTCTTTATCTCTGTTTTATTCAAATGGTATGTTTTTCAGATTCAGCTCCGCTTATAAATAATAAATTAGAACCAATGGCAACAACAATTCCGCTTTCTAATTTTAATGAGAAGAAAGTGGAAAAAGTAAGAGAATGGGAAAGTGATCAAGGCAAAACAACTTTTGATAATTTTTTTGTATGAAAATGGCTTTATGTTAGAAAAATGTCGTGAGCTTTAGAATGTTGAATGTTATATTTATAAATGAAATGAGTACTCAATGAATGTACTCTGTTACTGTTAATTTACTACTTCTGTAAGCCAAAAGTGGACCTAAGTGTAGTATAATCTAAATCTGATATTTGTGTTGAAAACAAATTTCTAACTTATCAAAGATAAGAACCTTTTGATACAAAAATTTATTATTTACGAAATTTCAAGAACGTTGATAGCGTAAACCATGAAATATCAGCTGTTTGATATTGTTTGTAAGTTATTTTCAAATCATGATTAGAAATTTTATTTCTTTCGTTCGACTTAAAAGTGAAATTCCGTTTTATTCAGGTGAATAACTAAATTTTTTTTTAAATGAATTTGATAATATAATTAAAAAATATTTTTACTTTTCGAATTTAGAAGTTCCTGTTAATTTTACTTTAACACGGCGCACGGTAGGGAATAATAATATGTCAGATAAGTCTAATTCTGGACCAATTGAAAACGCTATTCGTGAGGCTTTAACTGATGGCCTCAATCCAACTCATTTAGAAGTTATAAATGAATCATACATGCATGGCGTTCCAAAAGGAAGTGAGTCACATTTTAAAGTGCTTGTAGTATCACAGAAATTTGAAAATACTCCCCTGATCAAGGTAAAAAGCTAATTCGTATTTTAACTTTTAAAAGTTAGTCTAGTTTTTTTTAGCAACACAGGATGGTAAATGATTTAGTTATGGGAAAACTGAAAAGTGATTTTGTTCATGCATTGTCGATTGTTACCAAAACTCCAGCACAATATAATCCATCATACGAAGTTGAGCCTAGTCCAAATTGTCGAGGGGGTTTTGGCAAATGAGTTAAAACTTTTAGAATTGCGCTTTTATAAGCTCTAGGAAGTATTCATAATGCGAAAAAAATAGTATAAAATTGAAACAATGATCAACATTTTATTATTAAATCAATACCGTTTACTAAATTTTTTATAGTTTAAGAAGTGAATATGCTTGAGTTTTTGCAGATAAAATTACGTCATTGATCCCAACACCATCATAAGCAGCGCCACACAATGATACTGCTAAATTGTTTTTTTCAATGTAATTTCTTACTTCTTCAATTCGCTTTTTATGTCCGACTGTGTATTGTGGAATACAATTCCTAAGAATGTTAACACGAAACATATCAGGCTTTTCATTTATATGTAAAATCTTTGCAGTTTGTTCCAAAGCTATGTCTAATATTTCGCTTTGAGATGGATTTTTTCCAAGATATTTTTCAAACCACTTTCCTCCCATCATTACAGTAAGAACGGTTCCAGACATATTGAAAACACAACTGTCAAATATAACTCCTAGAATGGGAATATTTTCTGATGGTGGTATTAATAGTCCAAAAGCGTCATTTTTTAATAAATCTTTACTACAGAATTTTAAATTAACAACAGCGACATCGACATATTGAATATCTTTTAGCTGATTATTTAAAAAAGGATGCTGCAATTTCACTAGTTCAGCTAATTTAAAACTAGGTATGGCGCCAATAATGTGATCAGTCTCAATTTCTTTTCCATTTATATTGATAACAGCACCATTTGTTGTAAACGTTATTTGTTTACATTCAGAGTTAGTGTTTACTGTAACACCTTTAGATTTTATATTACTATTCAAACTATTTATTAAAGTCTCCATTCCATTTTTAAACGAATATATACTCCAGTTATTTTTCCTTGCCGATTCCACTAATTTGGCGTCCTTAGACATTAGAGCGAAACGCTCCATATTTGACATTTTTTTAATTTCTTTTGAGAAATAGTCCTTTATCAAACCTTTTAAAACTCCGCCATGTCTCTGTTCTTTCTCAAATAGATCATTCATTATAAATCTTACACTAATTTCTTTGGCATCTCCAGCACAAATGCCACATATCATTGAACTAATGATATAATCTGCTATTTCTCCCCCAAATCGTCTTTTACAAAAATTGTAAATGGATTCATCATCTAAACTATGCTTTACAGAGGGGGCTCGGAGGTCTTGAAGAAATCCGCTTACTAAAGGTTTGGAAAATGGTGGAGTTGTTTTAAACATGTCTATTAAACTTGATGGTAAAGTACAGAGATTGTTTTTAACATATATCATTCGATTTTTAGAAGCTTCGGAAGAGCAGCCTATAGGATAAATATCTGTTTCTAAGCCTAATTGCTCCACTAATTCCATTGTGGTAGAAGCTCCTAAGCCTTTTGAACGAATTGTATGAGGTCCAAATTCGAAAACCAAGGATTTTTCAGGATGTGACTCTGAACGAACCCACCCGCCTAATCGAGTTGATTTTTCAAATAATTCAATTTTCTTTGCAAGCCTACTTGTTAAATAATAAGCTGCTGATAAACCAGCCACACCTCCACCCAATATTGTAGGCATATTGTTTCCTACAAAACAATATCTTTCCACTTTTTTATATTATAATTTTAAAAAACACCACATGGTTTACATAATTAAAAATCCTGAAGCTACATACATACATTTTCAAATGGTTATGCCTTTTATAGTGTTGATTTGTTAAACGAGTTTCACGTAGGGCTTGCGCAATAATATCGAAATGTCGAAAAATCGATTATATATCAACGAATTTTTGACTATATTCATTCAATAACTTTAGTTCTATTATATCAGAAAAATACATTATAAATGATCATTTATGTAAAGTAAAATTAGCTTTACATAAGCGATGCGAACACATCATACATAAACAAGGCAATGTACAAAATGAGTTGTCAAATTGACAGCTTTTTGGAGAGACAATTAAACATGTTTGAACTATAATCTTTGTTTGGTAGAATTCTAAGAATAAAGAGTAAGGGAAATTTTTTCAAAAAACGATTGAAAATTAAGCTGTAAAGACTGTTTAAGCGTATCGTGTTATTATGTACTATATTAAGTGTTAAAAGTCATTCAGTGATATTTATTTATAAAAAAAAATAAAAATGGGAATGTGAAATAAAAAACTGTAAAAATTATGGTTTCCTACACTTAGTCCGTTCTTGTTCAATAACTTAAATGGAAAAAATATCAAAAGAGTCTGGAAATATTACCATTTGGGAACTCAAATATTCGCCATAATATTCACAGGAATGGTTGAAAACTCCACATTGAAGCAAAAAATATAACATCGTTTAACATTCCAAAACAACTCAGAGTGTAAACTCTGTGATACCCGTACGAATTTGCTATCCTATGTGGGAATAAATATGTCATAGCTGGGACAGACTATAACTTTAAGTTACTATATTAATTTATGCAAAATTTCAGTACTGTGTTTTCAGTATTAGCTAAGATATGGCCAAACTACTATTGAAGTTGTATGGCAGCTACCAGAAAGAGCCAAGCAATTTCAACGAATTTTATCAAACACATTGGCCCAACTAATTTATTCGCTTGTCTGAAATTTCAATACCACAAATATATTTGCCTTACTAATACATTCACTTATGTGAAATTTCAATACCACAGCTTTTATAGTTTTTGAGATATAGCCAAATAAATGGTAGATATATATATATGTATAGCCAAATAAATGGTAAATGTATGGCAGCTACCCTATATTCAATTTAAATAGGGTTCTGGCATTTACTATAATAAATCATTTGTGAAAATTTCGTGAACTTAGCTCAATTAGTTTTTGAGTTATCGCTGGGACAGACGGACATAAAAAGCTAAATCGACTCAGAATTCGAAGCTGATCAAAAACATACACTTGAGTTTTTTATTATTGGTGTGAAAAGAAAACTTCCTTTTATTCGGAATAAAATACCTTTATTTTTCGTTAATATATTTCGTGCGCTACATACGCACTTTATCAAAGCTGATTTTCTTCTTTATCAGAAAGAAACTTTTAAAAACAAAGTGAATAAATTTTATATGCATTTTAGAGAAAAACGAGATACGCAATACCAAATAATTCATTATTTGGTATTGAAAATTGCATTATACAAATATAATATAAAAATAAATAAAAAATATTTTAATTACGCAACAAACAAACATCAATATTTTCCTTTTTTTCTCTTTTTGTATGAAGTTGGAAACTAAGTGTATGCGACTAATACACACTATGTTTGGTGGAAACTCATAAATTTTTATATTGAAATATGAAATATTTTGAGAATAGTGGAAGTGGCATGCAAACGAAAACTACCGGCTTGGAACGAGTCAAACTACTTGTTAAATAGATATGCTTTTTTAAACTTTAGTCTGACAATAATATATACATATATTATTTAGTTTAAAAAGTTTTATTTATTAATATGGACATTGCACATATCAAGTCTTAATACACGTATCTACGTATCTTAATACGTTTATGTAGGTAAAGTTTCAAAGTGTAAAATTCTCTAACAATTTCAAGAACGAACAATAATTTTTAATTATAAGCAAGAATTGTTTTAACATAAACATTACATTTTAAGATAAGCCTACTTTAGACGTAATCTTAAAATAGAAGAAATTTATGAAAGATTAACTTAAATAAAAATTTTGAAATTTTAGTACGAGTACTAAATAAATAATATGAATTTTAAAAAATTGTTAAAAACAGTTTTAAATTGATATATGTAGAATGAAAAGCTCTTAAATAGTGAATTCACGAATTTTTGGCGCAAATCTATTTGTTCGTAAACAAAAATACGTACTCATATTTCTTTTGTTTGAAACAATTTAATTTAGTTATTTATTTAATAATTAAGAGTATAATTTAAAATCTTATCGAAGATTCCGTATATATAACAAGCGGAAGAAATAAAAATATAATTTAGAAGCACTTCCAGTCGTTAAAAAGAAACATCACTTTAAAAATTGAGAAAAGAAATAAGGAAAGCTATCGCCGCATTACAAAAAAGCTTTCCATTAAATCTATATAGGTGCTAAGAAACTTTTCATGAACGACGTGAAAATTTTAAAATTTTCCCCATTTTTCACATAATAATTTTAGAATAGTGTTCGCCTTAATTGAAGAAGGTTTGTTCGCTCGCCGTGTATTTTTTCCTTTATATACATACTATTATACAAAAAAAAGAAAAGTGAAAATTTTTTCACTCAAATTTTCATTTTAATTTTTCTTCTCTTAAACGTTCAAAAAACTACAGAAATTAACTAAATATCTTTAATTAATATAATAAATTTTAATCAATTTACAAAATTTTTAAGAAAAAACTTTAAATATTACAAAAAATTATGCAATCAATAATTAAATGAAAATTTATTCTTTATACGATTACGATGAAAGTGTAATTTAAGGTGATTTTCGAATATTAAAAGATTTTTAGTAAATTTTTGTAATCCAAAAAACATAAATTATGTACAAGGTTTATGATTATAAAAAAAATTAATTGAATTAAAATAATAATAAAATTATTAAAATTTTTTTAAATATAACTTAAAAAAAATTATACTGAAATAATTTTCATTTACACAAATTGTACATATATAAATGTATGTATGTATGTATGTACACATGTGAGTAGATATAACATAGTGAAAAAATCGAAACTAGGCCAGTGCTTTCTATTTCAGGCCATTGTGTAAAGAAAAAAATTCTTAAAATCCTAGGATAAAAAATTATAATTTTTCTTGTGCAGTTGTATTTGTGAATTAATATATGTACATATATTATATACCGAAGAATATATGAATTATCTGTATAAATACACAAATACACATATGTACACAAATACATATGTATATTAAAAAAAATAATTTATTTTAATTTTAAAATATCTTTAAATTATTTCTAAATTATTCATAACATTTTTTTAGGCAAGAATGAGCTGAGCGGATTATAAAAATTTATAAAATTATTTGCGTGAAAAATAAATTTAAAAAAAAATTGTTGATAAATATAAACTCAATAATTAAAAACAAAAAAGAATAAAAAACCAATGAAACATACATGTATACATGAAAATAGTTTTTTAGCTTTTTCATTTTCCTTTTTCTAGAAGCTCATTTTTTGATTTACAAAAAGATAAAAAAGCTTATTGTGAGAAAATATAGTTTTTGTTTACAACAGAATTTTGACCAAAAACTACATAATGTATGTACATACATTGTTATCTTTTAATTTTATAACTTCGGGATTTAATCATGTTTTTCTGCTTTCGTGTTGATTATGTTTAGTTTTTGAACTCCCAATGTTGTTCTACAACATTTTGTTTTCCTTTTTCTACTCTTACATTATTTCTTAAAATACTTCTACGAGTATTTCTTGCGTATTTTTATTTTTTGCGAAAGCTTTCTTTCTTAGCGGGCGATATGATATCTCATATATTTTCTAACAAAATTAAATTTTTTTTCAAAACTTTAAATTTTAAAATTCAGCATGGCAAATTTTCAAAATACGATGTTTTAAAAAAAAATAAAGGTTTTTTATAGGAAACCAATCGATAACATTTTAATTAAAGTTTTAATAAAAATATGTGTTTTCATAGTATTTAAATGTTTCACTATGTGTCTGCATCTACATATATGTATTTACCTATGTATGCATATAAATATATGTATATATATATATATATATAAGATAACGAATAATATATATAAGATAACAATATAATATATATATATGTATATATGTATGAATTATTTAAATAAAGTAAATTAAAACACAGAAAATAGGGAGATTTCCAAAATTTTCTTATTCCTACATTCGCGTGCTTTATTTTTTTTGTCTAAATAAACTAAGCTGTTGTGTTTTAAGCCATCAGATTTAAATATATGTACGCATGTACATATTTCAATATTTTTTCAAACCAAACATAGGTTTCAACTCATTATATTCTGCGAACAATTATTTCTATTATCTTTGCAAAGAGTTGACAGTTGATCAAACTTGCAAAAACAAGTAGAAATAAAATTAGCATTTAACGTAATTTTAAAATATGTAATTTACAATTGCGAAAATGCAACTTTAGTTCCAAAATAAAGAGTTTTATTTATTTTATATATCTAAATACATACATACAGATATATGTACCTAAAAAGTAGCATACACATGTACATTTATATTTAAATTTAATTTTAAATTAAAATACATTTATATTTAAAACGCATGTTCGTGTATGTAACTCTACTCAGTAATTTTAGAATAGTTTAAATTAAATTTGGATTTGAGAATTATATTTATATGACAGAAATAATTCAATGAAGTTAATTAATAATTTTATATAAATATTTAAATAACACAACACAACGTAACACAAAGCGAAGTTTGAATTGGAATTCACAATACAGATTTTCGCTAATAAAGAATAATTAAGATTGTTGGATAAGGAAGACAATTTTTGTTTTTATAAATTTACGTACAAAATACTTATTTTGTTTTTTCATTTGCCACTATTTAAAATAACTAACGTAAAATAGCTTAAATCACACGCAATATGGAATTTTAATTACCTTACGTTTTTAATTTATAAATTATAAAAATAAATATATTAATTTCAAATGTTTTCCCACAAACATAAAAATAACAATATACGCATAGTTCAACTTTTCTGCGTTGTACTTCCTTTGAACGGTATTCTGATATCCTTGCGATCAGACTGAGTAATAATAATAATAAAAAATTCTAGGAACGCATGAAAATAGATTTTTGTGCGTACAAAAACATTTCATTTATTACTTACATGAAACAAGTTCCGCATTATTATGTAAAACTTTAAACTAACTACTTATTTATAGTTTAAAATAAGTATTATATACCAAAAAATGTGTAAGTGAATGATATATAAATATTGATTATATATTGATGGTATATAATAAGAAATATATTAAAACATTAAAAAATATAGATTAAATAATTACTTTTATTAATATGTACCGTAAAATATATTTTATTTAGCAAAAATCAACGAAATTGAAAACAAAGGAGTAAAATATTAATTTCTATTAGAAAACTAAAAATTACATCAAATATGTTCAACCCTGCAATCGCTTTTGTGTAAAGTACTACAAAGTAAAATAATGAAATAAAAATAACTAAATCAAGTGTTCGTTACTTTTAAAATTGCAATATACAACTGTATAGTTTTATTTTTTAAAATAAATAATATTAATGTAATGAAAATATAAATTATCAAATAAATTTAGAATATATAAATTAGGAAAAATATGTAAAATCATTGCAAATTAAATTACTCAAGAAAAACGCACAAGCATTAAAGTTAAAAAAACATAAACAAAAATTTTTAAAATTCATCGAAGCAAAATACATATTCCTATAGTTGAGAATATAAAATTGTCGTTATAAAATCCATTCTTAAAAATATTCAAGTATTGAATATCAATTTATTAAAAAGTTGTGTCATTTATATATAGTGAAAATAATTACCAAAAAATAAAATAATTAATTATTGTAAATATAAAAATAGTTTTTTTAAAATTAAATGCTATATTTCGATGAATTTTCCCACAAAGTGAATGTTGGCAGCCCTGGAGTGCCTCGGTATTGCTGCGTGTACTAGGTAAGATCTGTATTATACTATTGACTAGGTAAGGTATTTATTTAAAACACTAACGGCGCCTGTAAGTTGATAGTACTAGTGTATAATAAAAGTCATCAATTTACAAATTTTGTCTGTTTGTGTACTTTACATATGGCATTGTCCTAACAGCGCGTATACATTAGATTAATAAAAACTTCTTTTTTGAATTAAAATTAATCTTTTAATTGTACTACTTATTATATTTATAATAAATATCAAACTGGAAGTGTGCAAAGTTAAAAAAAATTAGTGAAGAAAATTTCTTAAAATACTATATTTTAAGAAAACATTTTTAAAATAATACATTTTTTAAAATAATACATTTTTATTATACTAGACTAAAAAAGTCTAAGTCTTGATATTCATTGGTAAAGAAATTAAGTTATATGTCGTTTAAGTAGCGAGCATATTATTATAAAATATGCAGCATATCACCAATATTAAGTATTTTTAAACCTATTAATAATTTTTTTTTATTAAGGATTTTGTAAGTTTTTCATTTGAAAAACATAAAATCTAAAAGATAAACATTCACTCACCGCTTTATTGTGACTTTTTGTTTCAAAATTAATAAAAGAGAAAGGAAAAAAAACTGGTATAAGAAATTCCTCGTTTATTAGTAAAGTTTTTAATTCAATACTTCATTATTTGAGAGCGATTGTACTTTCGAATTATTAAGAAATTAGATTCAATTACTGTATGTGTTCAATTAAGAATTAAATTCTATATGTGAGGTATATGTATGCCAATTTATAATAATTATATATCTTATTGTTAATTAAACATTCCACTAACATTAAATTATTTTTATAAATAACTTTGTATGCTCAACAAAATAATCAACTTTGTACATTCATTTTGAATGTCATAAAGTTCTTATTCTAAAAGTGTATCAGTCGTGTCGAAAAATATTTTAGTTTCAAAAACATTAAGTGAAATATCAAAATTTTTGAAAATTTTTCCAATAAATTTTCCTTAAATCGTCATTTATTCATATCACAACTCACTAACCTAACGTTTTCTTTTACAGGAAGTGTGGTTTTGTATTTTGACCTTGATTTTGATTTGACGTACCGTTGCAAAAATCTCAGAAATAATATTGTCTATCACGCCAAAACCTGGGGTCAAAACATTAAACATATATCTAAAACAATGTATTTTTAAAACAAAAATAAAATTTTTGAAGCTTTATTACGCAGAGTTATTCAATATCAATGTGCAACTTCTCATTAGTATACAAAGGTGACTTTACCCGTCCTATTTTCCGAGTTATTATTTGTTACCGAGTTGATACGGTTTTCAGAAATTCCAACTTTGAGGCCTCATAACTCAAAAAAGTGGATCCACAATGTCACCTAGCGTTTTTGTCCATCGAGTCTCCAACATAGTGTATAACTTGCGTACAAATTTATACATGCAAAAATAAGAATTCTATAATAATTTATGTTACAATGAATACTTATAAATTAACCACAGAGTGTATTTTTTTTTGTTCTATAAAATTTTCATATTTTTCTTTCATACTTCCGTCGAAATAGCGAATTATATTGTGATGTCATCATCAAACTGCTCTCTCAATATGGGTGATTTATTCGCGTTATACATATTCAATATCATTAATATAATATAAGTATACATATTCTTATGAACAATGTATTTTTATAATATTCATAAAATTTTATTTCATCTCATTCTCATTCTTTTTTTCTTTTTATAGTTTTTTTTAAATATTTGTTATAAATATAAAAGGGACAATATTACTTTTAAAAGTTTCGTTATATATTCCATTGTACACACGTCGATCGTGAAAGAAATTGCATGTTTCCAGTAGTGTCAGCAAGCCAAAAAAATTTTAAGCGTGTATTTTAAAAAAAGAAAAATATTTAATAAAGAAAATAAGAGTGGAAAATATAAAAAAATTATTTCGATTTTTGCAGCGTTTCGGTACGAATTTTATTCAGGTTCTTAATTTATGTGAGTTGCATAAGATGGGACAAGGTTATTTAAAAAATATAAGTGAGAGAGATGTTAATGAATTTTAGTCAAAAAAAAGGAAAAGTTTTGTGTTCGTTTTTAACAGCAAAAAAATAAAAAAATTTTCTGTTTTTATTTATTGCAATAAAAATTATAATCAACACAGAAATATTAAAAAAACAACTCTCGTTAAAAGCTGAAGTATTTAATATCTATTTTGTGCAGATAGTTAAATATTTTCAAAAATAAAAGGACTATAGATTCGAAATAATAAATAAAATTAAACAATAATAAATAAAAATAAAAAATCGTCTCAAATAAATAAATGTACAGAAATTGATGAAGAAATATTTTTCAAATATAAAATTTTTCGTATGTGTTATTGAAATTTGAACATTAAAAACATTTGCGCTTTTAAAATTTAAATTAATAAATATAAATAATCTTTTTTCCAAATTAATTGCAGAAACTAAAGCAAAAAAATTAATTACATACTTTCAACTTGTATTTTATTTATTTTTTACTAAGTTTTAAAAAGCAATTTGTATTTTGAAAGCATTACGGTGAACCTTACTAAGTTAAGGTATATATCAAATTCATCGCACTTAACTTACTGCAAAGTATTTACAATAATATTTTTGTATAAATTAAATCTATGCATAAAAGAAAATAAATATATATGTAATTCTGACACGTTATGTTATTCTAATTAACCTGTTGAAAAATAGTTTGCAAAGTAACGTAGAATGATTAAATACAAGTTTTCATAGAATATATACTAGCGCTCTGGATATTTTTTCAATAAAGAGTATTATAATTAATAAACACTGTTATATTAATATTAACAATATTTTTTTTAAGTAGAAAAAGTTATTAAATTTAAAGTTTTAGACAAATTCCATACGAAATTGAATAAAAATTATTGGTTATTTATTATAAAAACTATTAATTACTTATTTGAGTAAATTACATATTTACACTGCAGGCTATGTCGATATATAATTCAATTCAATTTTATTTATTTAAAATAGGGGATGTCGGGGTGTGACGAAACCGGAGTTGAAGCAGTATCAGCAGAATCAACCGATTCACCATATGAAGACGACGATTGTCTTAAAATACGAAAATGGTGGTGTTTTTTATTATCCAGCATTTTCACCTTTTTGGCTGGATTATTGGTTGTACTGCTATGGAGATTTTTTGCATTTATGTGCTGCCGGAAGGAACCAGAATTATCTCCAAACGATCCAAAACAGAAGGAACAAAAGGCCTCACGAAACAAACAAGAGTTCGAAGGAACTTTTATGACAGAAGCAAAAGATTGGGCTGGTGAACTTATATCAGGTCAAACAACTACTGGAAGAATATTGGTAAGATAACAGCTTGTTATTCGATTTTAAACACAATATAAAACAAACTATATTGTATAACTTTTTAATTTTAAAACGTTTTTATAAAAATTTTTTTCATTTGTTTAATAAACTAATTTTGAAATGTTTCATTTTAATTTGGTGTACAAACTTAAAAAAAAATGTTTTATTGGTTTCTGTTGTACATCAATAATTAAGAATGATATCTAATCAAAGACAATTATTTACTATTTTGCTATTTCATGAATAGCAAAAAATATACATCAAAAAAAATTTTTTGTTCATTTAAAAATTAATACTTGGTATTTGCCAATGATTATTAAAAGATCCCATTCTTACGTATCAAAATCCATACATATGGCCTAGTGTTCATAAATAATTTAATTTGAAATGAGATTATTAAATTTTAACTAATTGATTCTGAGCATGGAAGTAATCAAAACCTAAAGTTTGAGTCTATTTAAGTTGGATTAAATTTCCAAAATATGTAGAATCAAAGAAAGATATAAGTATTGATGTAGGTAAAAATCGCATATAACCAAAGACTTTGAAAATTAATTATAATGTCTTTGGTACAACTTAAATATTATAAAAATGTGTTTAAAATATGTCATTGAATATGCGTAAAATTGAATTTAAAAAGTTCATGATAATGATAACGATGATGAATGATGGTTTGTGTATAGATATAAAGAAATTTAAAATACATTAGAAGACGAAAGTTAAAATACATTAGTTTACATGTCCAAAAGCAAATTGTTGCGTTTGTAAAAGGCATTTATTATACAACTTTCGTTAATTTTGTAAAATGAGAATTTCTACGTTTATACATATCTAATGAAAATATTCTAAATTTTTTTAATTAATTGGAGTGGAATCAAATTTAATGACATTGCTGCTATTCCTTTTTACCATACAATATTAATAATTTTGTGGACATTCTATTGGGAATCTGTTTTTAGATCTCCTTTGAATTTGTTAATGTTGTTAAAATATAAAAATAATAAAAAATGACTGTTTCAAAAGGAGTGCCACGTCCTTTTTATGGACTTTTAATTTTATTCCAAAGTATAGTTTTTAATTAACTCTTTTAGAAAGAATGAAATAGAACAACTTGTCATTGAATTCACTATTAGGTCATAAAGGATTGGGAACTTAAAAAAAAATTAAACAGTAATGTAAAAATTAATCATATATTTGAGAATGGTTTCTTTTTCCTTTGTTTTAATTTAGCATTGAATATTTTGTTTTTCATTGTCAAAATTTACTTTGAGTGTTTCTTTTTAAAAGAAGCGCGCTATCAATTAGAATTATACACTTTAAGGCGCGTTTAATTATACGTTTATGAGCATAAGCATAAGTTTAAAAATGAACAAATAATTTTAGTAAAACAAACATTTATGTAATTTATATTTTTCACCTTTTTGTAAGTTACACGATTATTCTTATGAATTGGCAAAAAAATTACCGTTTTGGTTAAGAATAAAAAACTTTCGAAGATTGGAGATTTCTCTGAAAAGTTTTTCAATATAATTGAAAACAGAAAATTTTCCTTAATTTCTATTAATTATATTCTATTAATTATATAATCCTTAAATTCTATTAATTAAAATTCAACCAGGGAAAAATGCATTCTCGTTGAAAGCGATAAATGTTTAGGTATTAAAAAGAATTTTTTTTTCATGTTCTATTTATTATGCCAAAATTAAATTTATATTACGATATATTCCAAACAAAACTAAATGAATTCTATTTATAATATAAGTATCAATATTCATTGCTGCATCAGTTGTACCACTCAAACTTTAATTAAAATTAATATACTGCCAAATCGCTTGTTATATTCTTTTTAATCTAATTTTATACACTTGTGTTATTAGTATAAATTATAATTAAATTTTATAATATTGGAAAAAGATTTGTGGCAGAAAAAAAACCAATTTAAGTAAAAAATTTTTATATTAAAATAAAATCTTAACTTAGTTATGTACTATACTAAACCTAGTTAAAAAGAAAACAAAATTCTATAATTAATTTTCAACTTCCAATTCTTTGAAAGACAACCCTGCCAAATTGTTTTTGTAATAAATACTGAGCAATTTTTACATCATCATTTGCGGAGTAAAGCGTAAGATCGTTTGCAAAAGCTATACTGCGATTTGGCTCTAACCCTTTACTTAGGGAATCCAGGTGAATTATATATATTATAGGTAAATATAGGTGAATTAACCGTATCGTGTTGGGAACCGTTAACCACCGAAAATATGTTGGAGTAGATATTCCGATAAGAAACTTTAAAACACCTGTCATGTATCATGTCGTTAATAAAAAGTATCAGATGGAAAGGATACTGATACCTAAACATTTTGTACATAAATCCTTGAAGCCATGCTGAATCAAATGCCTTCTCAAAATCAATAAAACTTGTAGCAACGCTGTAATATCAAAACATGATTTGTTGTAAAAAGAATCTACGGAAATAGTTTTGTTCTCATATAATTTTACATAAATTTAGGGGAAATTTAGCATATGTAATAATATTTAAAATTTATAATTTATAAGAATATAAAGTTTTTATCACCTTTAGCTTTTAGTTAAGAAGATGATTATAAGGTGGAAAAAAATTTTCTTTTAACGAAATAAACTATTTACTAATATCTACGATCTGCTGAAATTACAGACTCTTAAAAACTGACATCTAGAAAGAACGATATCAAAAGTTTTGGGAAATCGGATTTCAGATAAGTTCAAAAGGTATACCGCAGTAGAAGAAGTCAGCCACTCCTTTTCCGCGATTGCAGAATTTAAAAAATATTTATAGTTTTGTTACAATAATTATTTAGAAAATGTAATGTTTAGGACTTAGGGAGCTATTACTTTCAGAGGGGAAGAGATAAGAGGTGAAAATATTCTTCTACGGAAATAAGTTTCCAGTAAAAATCTATGTACTTATGAAATTTCAGTTTTCTACTTTCAAGAATATAGAAGTTTTGTAAACATGTCCTTGGACAACCAGACGAATGGACGGACGGACAGAGTGAAACTAATAAGCACCTTTTTCCTGAATTTTTTTGGAAAAGTGCTAAAAACTGTCTTTTAAGTTTGATTAAAAGGCGTTGACGAATTAAAATAAATTTTGGATGTTTCTCTAAAAGATACTTGAAATTTTTCAAAAATGACGTCAATTCTTACTAAAATGTATAATAAAAATTCCTTATTTTCAATAACTTTCAAATTATTTTCGAAAAATATAATAATTAATAATTTTTTATATGTTAATTATTTGTATTAATCTCAAAAGAGTTTAACTTCATGGCTACGAATAAACGAAAAATTAAAATATTAGAATGATATATACAAATAAAGGAAAAAATCCAAAATTAACACATTCTTATTTATATGTACAGCACAGTCTTCCCTACGCAGTATTTAAAAAAAAGAATCTTATTGTCTGTTTAAAAATATACATATATGTATATTAGCATACTACATATATATAAACATATTTGTTTGAATGCTAATATGATGCATAATAATAATAAATCCATATATTCGTAATATGACGGTATGTAGGAAAGTTTATAAACAAAAAAAAAAATACAAATATGAAATAATATGTTTTTGTGGTAAAAATTCTGAGGCGAATTTTTTTTATTCCTCATCGAGAAAGCTTTTGCATAAATAATAAAGCTTTTATTATGAGAAAGAAAAGAAAGTGAAATTATTCATGCGCATCAAATACTTTAGTTTTTTTTTTCCCTACAATAGATTTTAGGCCCATGGCATAAACATGGACATATATGCCTTAGTTTTTTAAGTTTCAAATCAGTTTGTGTCTAAATTTTCATATTTGTACATACATATATTATGTATAAATTTATTTCATTAAAATCAAAATTCAGGCAATAAATTAGAAAAATGAAAGAAAGCAGCATCTTGAAAAATCATTGAAGCCAGTTGTCTTTTTCTACGAACTGAGCATTGTTCGAACTCGTAACAGGGACGTATTTATTTTATTTATATTTCAGTAGAAGTATTTTGAAACATTTATTTATTTGAAATATCTGTAATATATGTACATATCTATTTGAAATAAATTTCACATCTGGGACCTTATTCACTAAAACTGGCACTACTTTATGTATTAGTATAGTTCATTAGTTTTTTGCCTTTTGCAACAAAAACTTTGCAAATTTTTTTAATTTATTAATTAGAATAAGTAAAAATTGGTTCGTCTTGCAGAAAAAAAAAACAAATGAGAAAAGTTTTTATTTTATGAGATAAAATTATATGTGTACGTTATTGAAATATCACAATATCTTATAGTGTCCTTCGAAATGAACATATTTTGTAAAAAAAATTTCAATATTATCATTTTTACTTGAAGGTTTTACTTCATGTTTTATTCTATTATTAAGATATGTGTAGCAAAAGTAAAGTAAAATTATTTCATTCTGGCTCTTATTCTAATATTTTATGATTATTTAAATTTATAAAACATTATCGCCTAAGAATTGGCAAAAGTTTATTTACCATAAACTTTTGTAGTAATAGCAATTCCTCCTTCCCGACGTGTTGCTATAAATTAAATTTTACTTAGCAAAATTAGTTTATATTTAATTTATTAACTCAATTTTAAAACGGAACAAAGTTAACACAGTTGCATATATAATTTGTTTTAGCTATTAAAATAGATGATATTCTTATATTAAAGTATATTTTTTTTCCTACGGCAGGCTACTCACCTACCTAGTTAACTCTATGACGCTATGAAACTAGTGCATGATATCATGCACTATAGTCGTATACTCCTCCTAGGAACGAAGAAGGAAAAAAAAAAAGTATATTTTTTAAAATTTTTTGTTTATAGTAAGAGTCCATTTTTAAACTTTTTTTTTACATTTTTCAATTGTTCATTTATAAAGCATGCTTATTTTGTAGAAAATCATGAAACTTTGTTGGCTTACTTTTTATTTGACATATACTTACAAAAAAAACCC